ATTCTAAATATACACAATTATTTAAACCTACACTAAACTAAATCTGAAACTAGAACCAAAATTAGCGTTGAAAACAAAATCCCCAAAATCCTCAATAATATATATTAATATAAAATAATCAATATAAATCAATAATAATTATATTTATGCCTAATAAAATATTTATGTGTATTATGTGTACTACAAACAGCATTTATCAACTTTTTCTTTTTTTTTACATTTTATCATATGTGAATCCAATATAAAATGGAGTATTCAGCAACGTAGTAGCAATAAATGTGAACATATATTAAAGATATAAAATGTAGTATGTAAACTACAAAACATATGTTTTGTAGTTTACATACTACATTTTTAAAAGATAAAATTACAATTTAAAACTCTGGATACAAATATAAATTCAAAATTTGAAGACAATACAGAGAAATATTAACAGACAAATAGAATTGTTATAAACCAATAAAAATTATAATACAAATTATTATACCGTAATAGCGTAAAAAAAAAAACACACACAAAAAAAAAACTAGATTGATAAATTTATATTATAATGAACAGTTTGTTTATTTAAAGATGGGTTTCCCATTTAATATGGAGTACTTCTTTAATTTTCAATTTGCTTTTGTTAGGAGCAGTATCCAAAATTTTAAAACAACTACAGTTACTTAGATTTTTACAATCAACAGATGAAATTAAATAAACATTAGATTGTTTGTCACTTGTAAGATGCTCAAAAATCCTTGTTGTTAAGTGTCTGTAGGTTTCTCCAATATAACTGGCATTACATCAAGCACAAGAAAATTTGTAAACAACATTGGATTTGAGCAGCTTAGGATAATTAGTTATGTAATTTGTTGGAAGTGAAAATTAAATTAATCATAACATCTTTACTATATTTTTTAATGATTTTATTAACTTTAGATACAGTAAAATTTGAGTAAAATTCTATAAATGGAAGTTTATAATATCTTATATTAGGGTTATCAATTCTATTTATCACAGATGGATTTAACTTTTTGTTAACAAATAATTTAATTTCAGGGTCAATTATTTTAGGTGGATATTGATTATTTTTTAAAATATTAAATAGATTTTTATGTTCTAATCAAATCCTAGCCATGTGTTGTTGATTTTATACGTTCTATCAATTAAACATCGTATAAGACTAATTTTGTAACAAAAGGGAACAAAACTGGAAAGCTTTTGTAAAAAACCCGTTTATGTTTTTTTGTGATAAACTGTTGTGGAAAGCGAAGTAATGATCATTTGGTGGGAGCGTTGACAGGTATAAACGTGGTTGTCAAATCTAATAGTTGATAGGCCAGTTTTCGTTCAACTAGAAATATGTCCATTTATTCGTAATTTTAAATTGTTAGTTTTGCCAGTTTATGTGGCTTGTTTTTTGCATGCCAAGCATTTAAGGTAATAAGTTACATTTTTGGTGTTGCATGTGATGTGACTTTTTATTTTCCAGATAGTACCATTAGAAGTTTCAAACTCATCTACTTCTTGAAGGTAGAGTTTGCATATTTTACATCGAATGTCTTTGCATTTAAATATGCCAATCTTCTTATTATTTGCTTCAAATTTTGAAGAAGTAAGTCTTCTTAATAAGTTAGGAGGTTGTTTAAAAGCTAATACCGGATGAATATTAGAAAAAACATTTTTGACTCTTTCATTCTGAGATACTTTGAGAAAAAGATTAGTTTCTGTTATTAAAGGTTGACAATTGAGATTACTATAGAATGTTGTCACTAAAGGAAATATTTTTTTAGACTTGTTTTGTGACGTTGGTCCTTGTAGTTTTGCGTTATGGAATGCTTTATCTATAATTACATCAGGATATTCATAATCTTTCAACCATGACTTTAGTTCAGCTAGACGAAGTTTTTCAATTACGTAATTAGATGTAAAAATAATTATTCTTTTAGCTAAATTATAAGAAATATTCTTTTTGATGTGTAATGGATGATGGCTGTTATAGTTTAAGTAGTCATGAGTGTTTGTTTCTTTATAATAAATGTCTGTTTGAATTTTTTTTATAGTTTTCAAGAGTAATTGCAATGTCTAAAAAGTTAATTACACTGTAGGTGTTATCATTTTTAGAAAACTCTTTACCAAAATCGGTTGTAAAACTAATTGATTCATTTAATTCAGTTAGAGAAATTTTAAAATTTATGATATCAAGATGTTTTCGCCAGATTATAAAACCATCATCAATATATCTAAAATAAAATTTTTTTATATCATCTACTTCACGGTTTGAAAAATGCTGAGGTAAAATTACTGGAAAAAGCTTAGTCTTTTCTAGAAACCCTAAATCATATTTCAATTTTATATATACATACATATATATATATATATATATATATATATATATATATATATATATATATATATATATATATATATATATATATATATATATATATATATATATATATATATATATATATATATATATATATATATATATATATATATATATATATATGTGTGTGTGTGTGTGTGTATGTGTGTGTGTGTGTGTGTGTGTGTGTGTGTGTGTGTGTGTGTGTGTGTGTGTGTGTACAGGGACTACTAAAATACCGGAACGCAACATTTCAAATCGATGCGAATTCGACGAGAGGGCTGATTTAGGCGGTTTGCAATATTACATTTTGTTATAACTTAAACAAAAATACTATTAAATCTAGAATTAGCCCGGTGGGAAATCGGCTAGCGAATAGCTAGCTATAATCGTTGCGATAAAGACAGCGATTTGGCCACGAGGATCGCTAGCTTTTTTAAGTTAGCGAAAAGCTATCGATATTTTTAAAGATAAAAACAGCGATTTGGCTACGAGGACAGCTAGCTTAACAAGCTGAAGATCCACTCGCTATTGTACCTAGCGTCATGTCGTAATAAAATCGTTGTCTAAAAAATTTTGATATGTAGCTATCAACCAGCTATAGATTTGTAAATATTTTGTAGCTAGCTACACAGCTACGATATGTAGCTAGCGACACATTGCAACAAAATCGCAATGTTTAAAGTTCAATTATTTTTATAGTTATAATAGACTCAACACTAAAAATCGAATTTTTAAAGATGTTAAAGACATTTGCAAAAAATAAAATTAGAAAAAAAAAATTATAGAGCTCATTTCTATAGAGCTCATTTCCCGCTATAGAGCTCATTTCCCACCGGGAGATTGGTTCTATAAATTCTTATATAAATCTGTGAATTTTTTTGATCGTTTGATATTCTCAGTAGGTCTTCTTTTTTATTTTTATTTTACTAGAAGGTGCTTTTAATAAACATGTATTCAACTTTAATATACTATGTGTGTAGACTTTATAAAGTAATTGTACAGCTACATTACCATTATAGCATTGTTAATCATTAACAATGCTATAATGGTAATTTTTTAATATGCACAGCTAAATTCTTACCATTAACTTAATGGTAAGAATTTAGCTGTGCATATTAAAAAATTTTTATTTTATTACTTAAATTAAAATAAAATTATATTATATATAATATTGTTTTATTTTTAATTTTTGTATTATATATAATTTAGTAAAATAAAATAAATTTAGTTTAGTCAATTAACATAAAAGCAAAAATAATTTGAGACATGCCTAGAAAATGTTCAGTAGGAAATTGTTGAGGAAACTATGACTATACCGAAAAACGTGTCAAAGTTTACAAGTTTCTAAGTGATAAAGAATTATGTTTAAGATGGTTAGGAGCTTTACCAAATAAAATTCAAAATCCAACTAATAATATGGGTATTTGCGAAAAGCACTGGCCTTTAGGATGCAGTATGCATTATCCTAAAAGATCTAAATATGAAGTGAGTTTTCTATAAATACTTAATATGCACAAAACTAATATTAATATTATTTTTAATCATTACTATAAGTTATTTTGAACTTAATTTCATATTTACTATATGTCCTATTGTATGTGTGTTTATGCATGATATACATATGTGTTTAAAGTGTTATATATATATATATATATATATATATATATATATATATATATATATATATATATATATATATATATATATATATATATATATATATATATATATATATATATATATATATATATATATATGTATATATATATATATATATATCTATATATATATATATCTATATATATATATATATATATATATATATATATATATATATATATATATATATATATATATATATATATATATGTTCTTTTTAAATATTTAATAGATTCCATCAGATCCTCCAACAATATTTCCTGGTTGTGCTTCTTCAATATTACGACATACAGGTACAACATTTTGTTCAACAAATTTTGCAGAGATTTCAATGGAATCTAGAAACTTATTACCTGACAAATTAAGTTCGTTTAACAAGATAGATCATATAGAAAGTTTTGAAATAGAACAATTTCTTAAAGATATAAAGCAGAGGTATAAGATATAATTAGATTATGTTACTTATTGTATTGTGTTAACATTTTATTAAAGTGTTTTATTTGTTTTTATTCTCATTACTAATTACCTTATTATTTAACACATTTCTAGGTTTCCTGATTATTTTGTTACAACAAGTATATCAGATGTGATTATTTTAATGTGACATTATCCAGTCCACCAGAAATAAATCTGTCTGTTAGAGTTAACTATTTCACTCAACAGGTTAATGCCTATATGAAACATACCCAAATTAACTGCAATGATGTTCTTGGGTTTTCTCATAAACTGACACGTTGGTCTCAGTTAGATGCAGTTCTTTCAAGATTGAAGTCAGTTAGAACTGAATTGAGTGAAGAAATAAAACACTTAGTGCAAGAAATTGAATGCACATACATAAATAGATCACATGAAATAAGTTTTTTGCTTGAACAACTGCAGCTTCAGCTTTTGCCTATGAAAGGTAAATGTTACTCTACACTAGTTTTAAGACGTGCCATAGAATTATACCTCTCATCAAGATGATGCTATAGAATTCTTTCTGATCTACTTCTCTTCCACATCCAAGTACTCTCAAACTTAAATTAGGCAGAATCGGTGAGGTAGGAACTCAAAAAGAATGTACTGAATGTATAAAATGTGTATTTGAAACATTATCGAATTCTGAAAAACGTTGTAGTCTTCTTTTTGATGAAATTTATGTTAAACCGAGTATTCCTTTTCGAGGATGTCATTTAATAGGTTACAGTGAAGACAATCCTACTGAACTTGCAAAGACTATACTTTGTTTTATGCTTAAGCCGATGTTAGGAAAACCAGCTTTTGTTTGTCGTATGGTGCCAATCTTTAAGCTTTCTGTTAATTTTTTACAAAGTTTAATTGTTCAAATCACTCAGACAGTAGCAGAACTAGGTGGAGAAATTTTATGCCTTATTTCGGACAAACTTGCAATAAACCGTAGTGTCTATAAAAACTTTACTTTAAATGTAAATATGCCATGGCTAGGCAAAATTAATAACCAAAATCTTGTAATGCTTCATGATCCAGTGCATTTATTTAAATCAATTAGAAATAACTGGCTTACTGAAAAGACTGATACAATTCATCTCATACTAAATGGTCAGTTATTTAAAAGGTACTGGAAAGATTTGGTAAGTTTATATAAAAAAGAAAAAAACAACGTTGTCAAGTTAACAAATCTCTCATACAAACCCATTTTTCCCGGGGCAGTTGATCGTCGAAATGTAGCCCATATGTGTGCAGTTGTGAATGAGAGAACTGTAGCTGCTTTTAAAATGTTCGATTTCAAGGAGACCAGTGAGTTTCTTGATAGAGTATTGTCTGTATGGAATTACCTTAATATTAAACAAGAAGGAATGGTTACGTTTAAATAATCCAATCAGAGCTTCATACAATGATAAGCGACTTCAAGAAATGTTGGCATTTTAAAAGTTAAAGCAATGCCAGGAGGAAAAAGCTGGAAACGCAATAAATCATTTACAAGCGAAACTAAAAAAGCTTTGTCAAGTACACTATATGGAATTGTACATTTAGTCAGAAAGTTGTTGACTGAAGATCATCAGTATGTTCTTCCTGGGGTTTTTCAGACAGATCGATTAGAAGGAGATTTTGGAATATACAGGTAATCACGTTTTTTTTGTGTAGCCTATCTATGTTTTTTAATCACTATAATATTTTGTAAAAATGTTTGATAAAATCTAAAACTTTCTTCATTTAAAACCCCCTTTTTTTTTTCATGGACCTATGTATCTTAAATTTCTCTAAAGGCAATTTAAATAAAGAAATTCCAATTATTTTAAATTGTGATTCTTCTTTTTGTTAGGCAACTTTGTGGTGGCAATTACTATATTTCGATAGAGTAAGTTCAAAATAGTTTGCGTTTACATCGTTTAAAATTGTTTAGTAAATTGGATGCTATGGATTTGCCTATATCTCGGTGCTCAATTGTTCAATCAGAGTGTTGTCACTTAGAACTGGTTGAAGATGACATTCATGATTTATTCTTTTTTAAAAAAGAAAAAGCAATTTCATACTCTTCACACACTAAAAAAAAAGGTAGGAATTTCTACCTTTAAAGGTATATCACATATCCTACCCCTTAAGGTAGAAAAATATACCCTACATAATAAGGTACTTTAGTCTATCTTTATAAAAGGTAGTAAAAACACCTTAGGGTATAAGTTACTAAGTTAGACAATTTTACCCTTAAAAGGTATATTTATCTACCATTTCGCCTATCTTCAAAGGTATATCATATATCATACCCTTTAAGGTAGAATATTATTAAGGTATTTTATTATACCCCTATATATGAGGTATTTTTTTCCACCCTAAAAGGCACACTTAGTTTTTTACATATTTTGTTTTTTGCAATTTTTTTTTTTCCTGTTGATGAGATTTGAAAATTTGCAACGACGCAGTGATAACAACACATGTGCAACGACGCAGTGATAAATTTAAAAAAGACATTTAAAAAATGCACATTTAAAAAAAAGCTATTTTACTTTTATTACAAATAAAAGTTTACAACAACTTGTTCAACAATCGCTGAACCGGTGGACTGACACAGTACTCACTAAGCCCACAAATATAATTGGCTAGAAATGTCAATGTTTTCTGCAGTCGCGGATCGAAGGCTATTTCAAAAACCCATTAAGATGCTATCAAGACTTTTATCAAGATGTTTCATCGATAGATAGAACGTTACAAATAACTAAACCATCGAGATAGATCGCTATATGCACATCTTCAAAATGCAGAATATTGGCTTGATTTGAGAAAGTAATGTTTATTGTTGGTGTGCTTAGAGTTGATTCCTAAAAAAATCAGAATTGTCTGTCAATATAAATATTACATTTATATCAACAAAAGTAAAAAAAAAAACACTAAAAATCAAAAAATCTCATTGTGAATGGTAGCTTCAAAACACTTATGAGACCTTATTTATCACGACCCATCTTTCAGTTTTTTCACCAAACATGGCAGGGCAAGCACAACATCGATGCTCTTATTTGTTGTGCTAAAAATATGTAAACACTTTTTTAAATAAATAAACATAAAATAAATATTAAATAAAGAGACATTATAAACCTTCTATATTGACATCTATATTGATCTATAGACATTATAAACCTTTTATATTGACTTCTATATTGACAAACCTTCTATATTGACTCAGATCCTATGGCAGCCACAATGTTAGTCACGAGGTCAATATTTTAGCATTTCTTTTCCCCGACTTGGCCATCTCCAGTACTTTTATAGATCTTTCAGCAGTAAAGAACTGGTTTATTTTATTGGTTACTTCATCTCCAGTTATGAGATTTACCTCTTTTAATAACTACAAATCATAATTATAATTATTAAAATTTATCAACTATGAATTATTATTACTCCATCGATTTATAAATTTAAGTTAAAACACACCTCTGTAGCAATCCTTAATGCTGGATACTCTTCTAGTATTTGTGCTGTTGTAGAATTAAGTATTACTCTCCTTCTATGCACAAAAGTTTTTGCCATTCGATATCTTACCTTAGACATATCAGGAAGACTTTTTTTTAACTCATTTGAAATGGTTTCTTTGTGTGCAATGCAGCTTAGCAAATCCTCCATAGCATTTGTTTGCATCTTAAACAAAATTTAATAAAATTTAAAGCAACGATATTGTTTTTTAGTATTTGGGAAACCATATAATAAATAATACAGAATTTGAATAACTGATCTCTAAGATACCGACCTCCGACCATTTCTGTTTTGGAGTTACTGCACATTCAATATAAAATTCCTTTCTTTTTAGCATTGTACCAAACTTTTTATGTTCTTGTACTGAAGAAATATTATGCATTTTAGACCTTTCAAACTAAAGTCTTGTTTTTAAGCTGTCTAACCAAGTTGTCTTGAAAGAAATTATTTATTTAAATTACAAATAAATAACTTGTGTGCGTGTATATATGTATAAATATATATATATATATATATATATATATATATATATATATATATATATATATATATATATATTTAAACAATTTAAAATGTGTTCTACAAAAAGAGTGCTCAATGCTCTTAAAAGAACAGAGCAATTACAAATGAGTAGAAAATCATTTCTCATTTCAAATGAGAAATGAGAAAAAATTTTGCTAAGTGATTTTCTACTAATACATGAGCGTTGAACTTTGATTTTTGCTAAGTGATTTTCTACTGTATACATGAGCGTTGAACAGTTTTTTAGTGTTTGAGCCAACTTCCAGACATGGAGAGCACACCAAACATTTATATTTTCATGTTTATGCGTCAAATAAGGATACATGTCTGTGTCAAATAAGGATACTTTGCAAAAAATTGCAATGATTGGAGTCTGTGAGCAAAAAATCTCTTAAAATTTGACCCCTTTGCCCCTAACGTGAGAGCAACATGTTTATAAATTCATTTTTTAATATTAACTAGATTTAAATTCATTGACAAATTTATGCACTAATCTATTATTGTTTGGTTTTTATGATCCACCAAAAGTTAATCCCCTCTCAAATTGAGAGAGCTTTAAACATTATAAGGTCATAATTTTCGAATAATAAAAGATTGGTGCATAAAATTTGAAATTTGTTGATGAATTTAAATTAAATTAATATTAGTAAAAAGTATATTGTTTAAATTTGTTGCTCTGCATTAAGGACAAGAGGGGCCAAAATTTTGTGGTTTTTTTGTTCCTAGGCTCCAATCATTGCAATTTTTTGCAAAGTATTCTTATTTGATAGACATGAACGTTTGAAAATTTTAAGTGTTCTCAATGTCTGGAAGTTAACTATCTTAATCACTAAAAAACTGTGTCTATACTAATGTGTGTGTGTGTGCGTGTGTGTGTGTGTATATATATATTTATATATAATATATATAAATTTTATAATATATATAAATTTTATATGTATATATATATATATATATATATATATATTTATATATAATATATATAAATATATATATTATATATATATATATATATATATATATATATATATATATATATATATATATATATATATATATATATATATATATATATATATATAAAAGCTTCATTTAAAATAAAAAACAATTACACAAAACTTACGTATGGCTTTGATGCCTTTTGACGTAAAAATATAATTTTATCTTGTACCTTTGGATAGGTTCGTACAATAGATTGACATACAGCCTGATACATCAGAGAAGTTGGATATCTAAAAATCCAAATAAAGATTTTTGTATAACCCAGTAATAGAGTAGTCGGAGATAGCATGAGCAATCATGTATGTAGGTGAAAAAAGTCTCTATATATATATATATATATATATATATATATATATATATATATATATATATATATATATATATATATATATATATATATATATATATAAACAATATTTGCCATAAAAAAGTAAAAAAAAAAAAAAAAGATTTTTAATTTGGGCGGCTTTTAAATACAGTCAGATGCTGTCGAAAACAGTCTAGAATAGGCCCTGATATATATATATATATATATATATATATATATATATATATATATATATATATATATATATATATATATATGTATATATATATATGTATATATATATATATATATGTATATATATATATATATGTATATATATATATATATGTATATATATATATATATATATATATATATATATATATATATATATATATATATATATATATATATATATATATATATATATATATATATATATATATATAAACTAATAACTTATTTAAAAAAACCTACTACTTACAAAGAATATTGCAGCAGATCATCTACATCCGATCCGCACATATAAAGGCTTTCTCTAGTGCTGCTGTTAAGTGCTTTGGGAGCATTGGTAGACAGTATACTGTTGGGAATGATGGCAATTCAGATGTATTGAGCATATGCTCAGTGCTACTAGATTCACCTTCTTGTAACACTGAAATTGGTGAAGAAGACAATGATTGAATACAATATGACACTTTTTCAGGAGACATTGTGGCAGTTACAGAATCTATGCAATGTAAACTATTTAGCAATAAATAACATAGTATTTATAATTTTATTAACTATTTATAACGTAATTCAAGATGTAAATGAGAGAATAAGGCGTTACAAGATAGAATTGCATTTTTATGTCAAAAACAAACATGAAACACGAAATGCAATCACAAAATCATAACCGTAAATAAATTATGCTAACTTTTTTTGCCAAATTCTAAGGTGGTCATTATAATCCAAAGGATTAAAACGACCTTTTTTTTTTAAATAAAAGTTGTTGATAAACAATTTTTTTTTAACAATTTGGAATCCTAGAAAAATACAAAAATAAATAATTAACACATAGTCTTTTTTAAATACTCTGCATTTTAATAATTAAACGTTCTAATACCATTAATAATAATCTTACTGTACACTTGCCATTCCTCGCCATCACGAAGAGCTAACAACACTTCACTTGAAAGACTAAGTAAAACATGACTTTCATCTATTTCCATTCCATCACTATTTACAACAATTTTAGCAGGAGCAAGTTGGAACTTCTCAGACACTGGAATTAAAATTAAAAAATAAGTTAATAATAATTACTTAATTTCTTTTTTCAAATTAACTCTCCCCAGGAATACTTTAAATGATAATTTATTTATAATATAATAGTATTACAGGCCTTGTTTTAAATGAAAAAGTGCTTAATGCATTAGCTTAACGCGATTTTGACGTCATAAAATTATCTTTATTTTTTTTTATAGACGTAAAGTGTTTTAACTACCGCAATAAATAACCGCAAACTAGTTCAATTTAACAATTAACTATAAACGTTTTAATTGTAAATTTATTATGAAAATTTTGTAATGTTTTTAATTGTTATTTTATTATTAATTTTAGTTCAATATTATTTAGTAAAATATATATATATATATATATATATATATATATATATATATATATATATATATATATATATATATATATATATATTTTAATTATTTCTGAAATTTGTTTTTGAATAATTGTTTTTAATCGTTGATAAACACAAACCCATGTTAATTATTTAAACAACGATTTTGTTTTGACAAGCAAAGAAAAATTTAGGTTTTTAAATTCTTTTTAAACTTATCTTGTTTAGGGTTTCAACTTGCGTTTTATAAAAATATAAAAAAGTTTTGTCTGCTTTGAGCATATTTTTGATATTTAGTTTAGAACGCGTTCGCCAGGAATTTAATTCATAAATTTTTTATGTTATTGTAAAAATATTTTACTTTTTAAACAAATCACAAAGAAACAGAGCTACAGAGAAATATTGTTTTTAACGATTAAATCTTTTTTTTTTAAATTTTAGGAAATTAAAAAAAATTAAATTAAATATAAAAGTCTTAATTATGCAAACTCTTTTGTTAATTATTCTTAAAACAAAAAAACAAATACTTCTACGCAAAACTTTAATCGTGCAAACTTAAAAAAATACTCAACTGAAATAATTTAAGCAGGGGTGGATCCAGAGGGGTTCAAAGGGTGCTCCAGCACCCGTCAACTTTCAACAAGTAAAGTTTCCTATTTCGTTGCATTTTTTTTATAAATAAAAATTGAATTGTTAAAATAGTTTATTCAACTCAAAATTTGCGATTTCATTTTTTGTGAAGGAAATCAAAAATAAATAAATAATTATCTTTGTTGTTGTGTAATACTTTGCGTTCAGCGCTAGCGTATTTTGTATATACTTATGCTTCGACTAGGAAACTCCAGTATAGTCGCTTTTTGATTGGCCTGCTCCCCTCAGAATTATTTTTGATTGGCCTGCACCTCTCAGAAGCTATTTTTGATTAGCTTGGTTTCTTAAGCTAATCAAAACAGGTTCTGAGGGGTGCTGACCCAATCAGAAAGGTCTCTGAAAGGTGCAAGCCAATCACGCAAAAATCAGAAAAAAGGTTTTTCACTAAGCTTTTTGTTAACTTGTAGGTTAAGTGTTCTAAACATGGCGGATTCAATGCTTCAAATCATTTTAAAATGTATTTTAGATGAAAATAGGGTTCAATCAGAAAAGGAATCGTTTTTATCTAATGTTATTGTCGAAGCTCATAATAAGATTAGAGAAATATTTTTGTTTAATGAAAAATCTAAAGTAAGTATATTGAATAAAATATGCAAAGTTTCAAGTATGCAGTTTCCCGTATCTCAATCATTTCGAGCAGAAAGTGATTTTCAACCAGTGAGGTAATAAGTTGTTTCTTAAATAATTATATTAAATTAAAAAAACAAAAAACAAACGAAGTGTTTATGTATGTGTGTGTTGTGTTGATTAATGATTAAAATAATAGCAAAATAATAGCAAATAATAGCTGGCTTTAAATGATTTCTTAATTTGCTATTATTTTAACCACTAATCAACACAACACACACACACATATTTTGTATAGCCTACAAACACACACATTTTGTTTAGCCTATACTATAGGATTTACAAAAAGCTATACTATAGCTTTTTGTGCCTAATATTTTACTACAAACTTTTTTATTTAAGCTGAAAGATGTGTAAAATTTTGTTCTAGGTGCTTAAATCTAAAAAACTTTTTTTTAAGTAAAATTGTGTTCATCCTTAAGTATATATACTTAAGCATGAACACAATTTTACTAAAAAAAAAGTATACAAAAAAGTATATAATATATTTATATAATATTTCAAGGAGAAAATAATCAATTATGTTATAATTTATTTTATGTTTGAATAATACCAAAATTACATTTAGTAAATCATTTACTAGTAAGTTATTTTATGATATAAAATTATGTAATAATTATTTTGTGACATAACATAAATTATGTTGCTTCGCTTATATTAATTTTTTTATTATTATTACAACTTCTCCAAACGGAAACTGTTTATTTAATGCTTGTTCTATATCATTAATTGGCAACGAATTTTTGTCAGAATACCTTAGATGCCTGACCAGTATCGAATTATATACAAATGTAGGTTTTTATTTAAACCATCCAATTATTTTTTCTCAAACTGATGTTACCAAATCTCCAAGAATTGATGAAAACACAGCTTTTTCTATTATTATTTCCCAAAAAGCATATAATTCTTTTTGTAAAAATAATAGAACACTCAGTGTCATATCAGAATCTATCAATATTGCAACAAATTTTTCTTGTTCCTCGTTTCTTACTTTGTGTGCTCTCTCAAGTGTTGTTGGAATACCAATTGAATCATATTATCCTATAGAAAAGGATAGAAAAGAAATAGAAAAAACTGTTTATGAAATATTTTTCAATTGCACTGTTAGACCACGTGTTGAACATTCTTTAAGCACATCTGTAAAAAAAATACACATTCTTCGTTGCTCTTCATTTATTGCAGGTTTTAAACAGACCTCTAATATATTTATAAACAAAGATCACTTTGTTCCTTTAATATCTTTAAAATGTATTCCTAAAAAATACCAAGCTCCTAATATATTTGCACCTAAAGTAGTAAAATTACCTGAAATTAATCAACTTACTTCTTCGAAATCTAGTATCCTGTTTCCTGATTCTACTCAGGAAACAGATATTTTAGATTCAGTTAAAATTCTTTCAACTTTTAAAAAAAGAAAACAACTCACAATTGATCAATTTGCTATTAAGTCACCTTTTCCTACAGGCAAAAAAATTTGTGTTGTATCTTCGCCAATCAAATTAAAAAGTTCTACCACATTATCGATTGCAGAATGTTCTTCAAAATATATACATTCACCGATTAAGGCAAATTTAAACTCTAAAAGTAGTTCTGCTTTTGGAAATAAATGTGAACTATCTTTTGTAAACAAATACGATATCGGGCTCTATGAAACTTATGGAATTAATAAACTAGGCAACGAAGATAAGTATGATTAACAAAAAATGTTTATAAACCAAGCTCTAGTTTTCATTTTGAATCCAATAAATCAGGTCATTCCTTTCAATTCTCTTGGCTCTCATTATACTCTTGGCTTGCATATTCAGAAGTTAAAAAATGGGCTTTTTGTGTTAATTGTGTTATTTTTAGATCTGAAGAATCAAGTCATAATGCAAGTAAACTTGTTCAGCTTTATAAATCTCCATTTGTGGCATATTCAAAGGCCATTAATAAGTTTAATAAACATGCTGAAAGTTTACCAATTCACCAAACTGCAACTCTAAAGGCAACTCATTTTTGCCAATGTATGGAGCAAAAAATAAATTTTATTGACTTAAATCTCAACAAAGTAATTGATGAACAAGTCAAGAAAAATAGAGAAATATTAAAACCAATAGTTCTGGCAGTTATTATGTGTGGAAAACAAAACATACCTCTCCGAGGTCACAGAGATGATTCATTTTACTATGAGAATGAAAATAGTAACTCTGGCAATCTTTAATCAATTTTGAAATTAATATCTGATTGTGCAGAAAACAGTTTGGTGAATGGGCGAATTTCTACTCCAAAAAATGCTACATATCGCTCTAAAACTACTCAAAATGAGTTGATTAATATTTGTAATGACATAATAATTTCTAAATTGAAATGTGAAGTTAAAAAGGCTAAATTTTTTTCAATATTAGCAGATGAAGCATCTGATGTGAGCAATATGGAACAAATGCCACTTGTATTACGCTTTGTAAATAATAATTGTGAAATTTTTGAACTATTTTTTGGCTTTATTCCTTGCGACTCAGGCTTGTCTGGAGAAGCTATAGGCAGCCAAATTTTGAATAGTATTAAAGATTTGGGATTAGAAATGAAATTTTGTGTTGGTCAAGGTTATGACGGTGCTGGTAACATGGCTGGGAACTGTTCTGGTGCTGCAGTAAGAATAAAAACTATTTATCCAAAAGCATTGTATGTTCATTGTGGATCTCATGTCCTCAATCTTTGTGTTGCAAATGCCTGTAACATACAGATAGTTAGCAATATGATGTCAAATGTTCGTGTTATATCTCAGTTCTTTAATTTTAGTCCAAAGCGTTTTGATGTTCTGAAAAAAAAAAATTGAAGAAATGTTTCCAAAAGCTCATCACTCTCGTTTAATAGATGTATGTCGTGCAAGATGGATTGCCAGAATTGATGGTTTAGATGTGTTTATAGAGGTACTTCCTGCTATAATTAAATGCTTTGAGCTAATGATTAATAACAATGAAAAGTCTTGGAATCATGACTCAGTGCGTGATGCAAATAGTTATTTCTTTGTTACTAGATCTTTTCAGTTTCTTGTTACTTTAGTAGTGGTGTCTCGCTGTTTGGAAGTAACAAGACCAATTACAAAACAATTTCAATCTCCAAACTTTGATGTTTTTGCATCGCATGAAAAAATAAATTTGTTACATCTTGCTTTACAGCGACTAAGATCAGACATTGAACACAGTCATGGTGCTTGGTATAGTGAGGCAGTTGTATTGGCAGCTAGTGTTAGTGTTTATGAGCACAAGCCTCGTACAATAGGAAAACAGCTTAATCGAAATAATTGTCCTAGTGAATCTATTAATGAGTATTACAAGAAAGTCATTACAATTCTTTTTCTTGACCATTTATCATCCCAGATTCAATTACGTTTTTCTAATAAAAACATTGCTGTTTATAATGGATTCTTTGCAATGCCAACTAACGTTTTAAATGTTGCTGAATGGAGAAGCAACTTTTTTCTTTTTTCAAATGAGTATGAGAATGAACTTCCGGAACCACGGTATATCATGACCGAATTGAACATGTGGGAAGATTATTGGCGTAGTTTTAAAAATTCCCTTCCAACTACTCTAACCAAACTCCTTCCTCTTATTGATAGAATAACTTTTCCTAATATAGTTACCTTAGTTCAAATTCTTGCAACTATTCCAGTAGCAACATGCACTTGCGAAAAATCAATCTCTGTTATTCGTCGTTTAAAAACCTATCTACGTAACACAATGTCACAGAATAGATTTAATAGTCATGCTTTAATGCACGTTCACCAAGATATCAGCATCGATGTAAATGAAGTGATTGATTGTTTTGCTAGGAAAAATCCTCGTAGAATGAAACTTGTAGATATTTTAAATTCTGATCCAATTTAAACTGTTTTATTTAATAATATAATATAAATATATTATTTACTGTTTTATATATTTTATAGAGTAATTTAAATAGTGGTCCTAGAAAGTTCTGAAAGTTCTAGAAAGTTCTGTTTTTTTTTTTTTGTATTTTTTAAGCATGAAATTATACTTCAAAAAATATATACAGTAGAATCTTGTTAAGTCTGATTCTCAAGGGAAATAGATAAATAATCAGACTTGGCGAATGTCAGAGTTAGGGGAAGCTCTCGGTATGTATAGAAAGCTCAATAGGAATTGAAAAGCTGACTTAGTAAAAGTTTGAGTTATCAGACATAATTATAAAGTTTTCATTATTAATAAATTAGCATTATTGATAGTTATAATTATAGTTTAATTATAATTAAAGTTAAATTATAACTGGATTTAAAAATAAGTCTGCTCTTACATTTTTATTTATATTTTGGGGGAATATCCTTGGAAAATAAATGGCTCCAGAATATCATGAAACTCAGAATATTTATTTTATTACTGTTACATAATTTTATTAATAAACAGTGTTATATAATGTTATTAAATCTATTCACTATTATTGATGTATTTAGTGTAAGAGTTTATTATTATTGTTATTATTTTTGTTACAATTTATAAATAATTATCGTGTATAATTATATATTTTATATATCATAGTATTAATTATTTTTAATAGTGAATTTTAATACAATTGTGTTATAATTGCAATATAATGTGCATGACACAGGTGTTTTTAGAAGTTAAACTAGATGGTTACTTTTTATATTTTCAAGCTTCTGTTTAAAGATCATATTAGAAGCAAATTTTGAGTTCCATTGAAACTAGATTTTTATTAACAGTTTTTTTTTATCAGTTCTTCATTTTGTAACTATTTTACTATTTTATTTTAGTTTTCCTACTGTTGAAATATGGTTTTAATTTAGTAAAGTTTCATGATTTGAAATTTACTTTATTGGTCATAAGCTTTAGACAGTTTAGAAAAGGTAACAGTAACAGTTTAGAAAAGGAAATTTAGCACAGTTAGGGTAAGAAATTTGTTTACTTTTAACATTTCAAAACTGGGTTTTACTGTTCAATTCTTATGCTATTCCTAGTTTATGTTAAATGTCATACGAATAATAAACAAATTGTGTGTTCATTGTTTGGGGTCATGAAATTATTGTATCATTATTGATTGATTCTTTATATAACCAATATATAGTTGCTGTATTACTTTGCATACAAAATATTTTTATGTACACAAAATTACTTTCGCACTGTACTCTAATAAATAAGAGGGTCGGAAATTTTTCTAAAATATAATAAACGGGGGAGAGGGGGGGTTTCTTAATAAACCGAAGGGTCGGAATTTTAAAAAGCTTAAAATAGTTTTTTTGGTTGGTTGTTCATATTTTCATCTATTATTGTAAGAAATATTTTTCTCAAAGTAAAAAAATAGCAAAAATATTTTATTTTGTTTCAAATTAATAACCGAGGGGGGGGGGGGTTCCTAATAAGCTCCGGGAGGTCGGAAAAAAATTCTCCTCCCCGTACTTTATAAAAACCTTTTTTACAACCAACCCCTTTCATACAATGCAAAGCGCGGGGGGGGGAGGGTAATGAAAACACCCCCTCATCGTAGCAGCACAGCACATATTTGCCAGCACCCCTCAAAAAAAAAGCTAGATCCGCCCTTGTTAAGTATATTTAATAATTTGAATCGTATCTGTTTATAATAAATTTGTTTATTAAAAATTAAGTTCTTTAACTTATAAACTCAAAAGTATTTTCATTCTACGTGTAATTACAAAACTCTTTTTTTTTTTACGTTTGTAAGCAATTTAACTTAATAAAATAAAAAAAGAATAAATATGAGGTAATCTTTGTTAAGAACAAATTTAATTTATTTATTGAACTATATTTTTATTTTTAATTATATATCAACTTAATTAAAATATAGTAACATGTTAAAATATTTTAACATGACTTGTGTTATTTATAAACCGTTGGGCAGTTGCCCTTACGGCACTATTGTTTTTGGATAATATTTTATTTTGATGAAGATCACATAACTTACATTTGATTTTAATAACGTAAGTCTTCTCTTTTTCTGCGATCATCGCATCGGCAAAGCATTGGCAAAGTCCCAAGATTTAAAAGTTTTTAAAATAAATCTTTTGTCCTTCAAAATACAATTCATATTCGAACTTTAAACAAGATTTTTATATACTAGTTTGTTTTGTTTTATAAAGAAAAGTACATATTCATTAGTAAAAAATGGAGACTGTCATTAAACTAAAACGTGCCTTTGTATTTATTTAACGGAACCTGTAATGTGCGCGTGCATAATGAAACCTTCGTTGTATAAATATATTCAACGTAATATTAGTGTCATCAGCGGATGTTGTAGTCTACTCATGATTTTTTTACCTTATAATATAACTTGATTTATGAAAAAAAAAAACTTATTGAATCGCACGCAGAAAAAATTTAACAAATTGTCTTCATTCAAATATTGCGAGTAACAGGTAATTTTTTTTTTTCTGTGCCGACCCCTCCCCCGCGTAACTTAAAGGTAAAGGTATCTATATACCTTAAACTAATAAGAAAAGCAAAGACATTTTTAATATCTCGAAAAAATGTCTAGATATTTTTGTTATCATGATAACAAAAATATTAAGACATTTTTTGAGATATTAAAAAAAATGTCAATTCTTAATTACAAATTTTTTTGCAAATGTTTTTTATTATAAATTTAGTAAAAAATTCTTAAAAAATCTATATTACAAAAAACATTTATATTCTGTATTAATAATTATGGAATATAGATTTTTTTAAAGTTTTTTACTGAAAACTTTAAAAAATTACTACTTTTTATTAAAAACAATGCAAAAAATTTGTAGTTAAGGATTGACAAACAATTTTTCATGTTGCTAAATATTTGGATAAAAAGTTTAGCGTCAAATTAATTGCTATAAAAAGGAAAGATATATCGCGATGAAAAGTTACATCAATTATTTTTAAAGTAAATTCTTTTTTTAAATAAATATCTGTACATATCGTTATTTAAAAGTTAATGAGGTTTTTTTAAAAATTAATTACTTCTTTTATGTTACCGCTAATTTAAAAGTTAAAAAATGATAAAAAGTAGCTTAACCAAAACAGCTCTACGTGTACGTAAAAATCGCTCTAGGCGTAAGGCTTTAAAACAAGGCCTGGTATTATAAAATTTCTTACCCTTTACTATCACCGTATCAAAATCTTTAGCAATAACTGCTCTTTTGACTAAACGATCGCCTGACCATATCTTGAAAAGAGGCATTTTAAACTTGATCACTTCGTTGAATTATGAAAAAACTGTAATACTCTATCAAATAATAAAACATTTATAATATTTTTTTTTCGAAATATATTTGCATGTTTTTACAGTAAAACTAGAATATATAGTCAATTATAAATAGTATAGTAAATTAAAAAACAGAAAATACTAAAAGAGCAATATCATCAAACTAATTATATACAAGGTAAAGTAAAGTCAAAACTGAAATGAAGTTAATTAGGGTATCTGCCAATATTTAAGGTGAATTTTCAATATTTTAAGGTGAATTTTTAAATTTCAAAATTTCCCAGATTGTTTCATAATTTTTATTTTGCAGAAATCTGAATTTTCTGAATTTTTCTTATCTAGCAGACACCACCCGAGAAACATATATAAAACCAAATGTAGAAATATTTGTGGAAACTAAATTTTAATATATATTTTAATGTTATAAATATTTCAATTTTCTTATTTATCCTTTAAGCAAACACGATGTCGAAATAAAATGCCTTCCTGATTATTAACAAAATAGGAACCCATAGACGGACGATTGGCATGTTCACCAGGTATCACCACAACCCAATTGTTAGACTGCTCTATATTGTAAAAATCAGCAAACTCGATATATTGTTTTACTATTTGCAACACACAGCCTCTAATCCAAGTTCCTTGAAACAATAATATATATTCAACTTTTCCGAATAAAGGCATGTCATTGCAACCTTTCATTTGACAAATAATACTTGTGTTTGTATAAAAGATCTGTCCATTAATTTTAAGTTTTGTGGTAGATATAAACTGCTTATGTTGATTTAATTAGCAGCCGTGGCGCAGTGGTAGCGCACTTGCCTCAGAAACATAAGATCCGTGGTTCAAACCCCACCTCTAGGCAAGTTTTGCGACATCGGTTGGGAAGGAGGCGTGAACTTCTTATTAAATGCTCTTCCGTGGTGCTCTGTGATAAGACCTTAAGGACTTCTTGGGGCACCTAAATCAACATAAATAAATAAATTAAAAAAAAAAAAAAAAAAATTATTTGATGGGTTTTAACAAAATTTTTAACACTTTTTACATGACGTGCAATTTGTTTAAAGTATTGATGTTTAACTTCAAATCTCATTACCCAGAGGTGTCGCAAAGGTCCAAGGTGTAATAGTAATCTAGGATAATGCACCAAAAAATGTATTTTAGGTATAAATGATACTGGGCTGATTCGTTCAAGCAGAGAATGATGTCTTTGAATCAGATGCTCAAGAATAGGGATCCAATTTATATCAATTTCTGGTGCCAAAATGATTTGCACTATTTGTCGACAAAGCAAATGAAACTGCCAAAAGTTATTGTTTAGAAGTATATCATGATTTTTTACAAGACGGCTGAAATATAGGCAAAAAATGAAATAGTGACCATCGCTCTATTTCTTTTCCATGGATTGTTTTATTGGTCGATACCAAATTTTTTGGAACACATGATATAGCAGGTATATCACAACTATCTGGAATACCATACTTAAATTTCGCTATTTCTTCTTTCAACTGATTAATAGTGAATAATTTTTCTTTGATAAGATTTCTTACAACAATTGAAAAATTATCACTCAAAAGCCCTTTTAGTCCATCATGCATAAAGTCAGGCGGGAAACATTCAATCGGGTTGAAATACTGCAAATTAGATAACGAACAATGACTATTAACACCATACACACCACTGAGAGATTTATCGATCTTTACTTCTCGAACATTATAATTATGTAAATCTAACGTTCTCAGATGACATAAAGATTCT